ACCCTTATCCCAGTGAAGAAACTACGAAGCTGAAAAATCCGTCAGCAGGGCAAAAGCGGCAGTTAGTCCAGTCAATTTATGAGAATACCAACCACAAATTGCAACAGAAATGATTACAACTTTTTAAGACCCTCAACCATTCCTTTATAACATATAAAAAGTCTAGGAAAATCTCAGAGGTGGAACAAGGTCAAATTCGACCTTCAAGGTCATAGGGCTCATCTTCACTTTCGAAATCTTAGATAGAAATGCAAACCTTTTTGCAATCAACTCTATTGTGTCATGTTATATATCAAATTAAAGCTCAGATTACAGGCTTTTCAGAATTATATGGTTTAAAAGGGATTAGTCTCATCATATTGTTCTATTTTTCAAAAAAAACATTCCCAAAAATATGAAAAACGTATTTCCGACATCCACATGCATATTTATGCTACGATTATGCCAAAACTTTCATTTTGAAATTGTGTGACAATTGCTAACATGAAGGAATATTGAGATGAATATGTTTCAAACAATAGTCATTCCAAATAATAATGAAATAGAATGAACGATCAATGTCTTATATTGACACAATTTTATCATGTACAAGGATAGGATCCTTTTGCCATCTCTTTTCCATCCCCAATCTGTCACAAAGCGGATGAAAAACAATGTGTCACACCAAACGTCACTTAATTTGGATCAACCTCTCTGGTGGAAAGCTTCAATGATAATTTCCAGTAAGCCTTCATCAAGTGTTTTGAAGAACGTCGTCCTAGGGATGCATTGGAATCATCATGTCTGGGTCGGGTCTGTTTGAACTTCTGGTATATGCCAGTAACACAGTTAGCCACATACTAACAGGGAAAGCTGTTGCCAGAGCTATTCGAGCTCACTTTCTTGTAGACACAGTTCTCAATGGTCTGTTGGTATCAAGAACTTTTAATGTGAGCCTTCCTAGCTTCCGTACACCTTCTGACGAAGCTGACCTTGCCACTCCCCTTCCTGACACTGATGATGAGGATCTCAACATGGCGACGGTGCCGAACAATGAGCTGGTGAGTGAATCCTTGACTGTTGGTGAAGTATCTTCTTCAAAGACATTAGAAAGCATTCACCATCGTGTTAACCAAGAAAAAAATGCGCTAAGCAATATGAAGACAGCAAAACCTTGGATCCAGTACATGAACATGGTGGATATCTTACGGATTTTCATTATAGCTGAAAGATTAGGAAATTTGAAGATGCACCTAAAGCATATTGCTGACATGTTGCCATTATTTGCAGCAGCTGGCCATACCTTGTACACCCAATCAGTTCGGCTGTACCTTCAGATGATTACTTCCCTGCAAGGAACACATCCCAAGACCTTTGAACTCTTTAACTCAGGTCATCATGTTATCTGCTGCGCCAATTGTTATTGGGGAGGATGTCCAACAGATCTTGTGATTGAACAGGTGCTCATGCAGAGCATTAAGACAAATGGAGGAATAACAAGGGGGACAGGTATGTCTGAAACACAGGGGTTTGTATGGCTTTTGTCAATGCCATCATGCACGGAAGTCAGCAAAGCCATGAGTGATTTTACAAGTAGTGTAAACAGAAACTCTGAACAAGCCAAGGACATGTCTAATGCAAGACAGGAGAGAGACAGGAATGATGCCATGAAACTTCTCCATGTCCTTCAAGACAGAGACCCATGCAAAAAAAATCCTGACCTCAGAAACATTGCAAACGGAGTTGTCGCAGGTGCAACTGTGAATGTAGATGATGCATGTTGTGTTGGTAGCTCTATTTTGGAGTCTATGACATTGGCGACTTCAAATTAAAAAAAGATCAAGCTGTACAAATGAACAAGAAACCTGTTACACCACAAGATGAAGACATTTGCAACATTGATCCAGTTTTATTGTTTCAAAGGTTTGCCGATAGCAAGTCAACACACAAAAGCTCCAATTTTTGCTAAAGTTTGACTTTGCTTCATACTCTACCTTGGCCACGGGAGTATCTTATGCTGACTTGTGCATCATGTACTGCACATATGTCAAAAGACACTATGACAGAGATACTGTTGTGTTCAATGGATACTCAAGTTCATATACAAGGTATACAACACAAATGAGACGGACTGGTGGACTTAAATTTGGTTAATTTTGATGAGAGTATGATATTATAATCAAAGAAAGAGTCATTCCACGCCAGTGTTCAGAACAAACAACAGTTCATCACGATGATGTGCTCCTATCTAGAAGCTGACGGATGTCACACAGTTCAAGCCACTGGTGATGCTGGTGTTGTGATAGTTCAAACAGCAGTTTCACTGGCATGCCAGTCATAAACAGTTCTCATAGGGGACGACACGGATCTGCTGGTGACACAAATCTGGAATCTCATGATATCTTCTTGCAGTCAACACCCAAGAAAAGTTCTTTGAAAAGAATTCCATTTTGGAACATCATCGAAACCAAGAAGCATGAAGCATTCTTGTTCATACATCCTGTCTTAGACTGTGATACGACATCAAGAATCCATAAAATTGGAACAGCTGTTGCCATGAACAGTAGAACAAATCATTCAAGCTGGAGAGAAGACAATGGTGTGTCTCCTGTATGGAGAAACAGGTGAAAGTCTGAACTTACTCACAGACGTTTTTGTGAGAAAATAGCCTCAAGCCAGATGCATGTTTATCCTCAGAATCGTCCGCCACCATCAACAGCAGTCAAGTGTCATAGTCGCGGGTTTACTTTCAGTTTCAAGAGTTGAAATGGAAATTACCATCTGCTTCGTTTGACAGATTAAGGATGGAAAAGAGATGGCAAAAGGATCCTAACCTTGAAGATCTTCCCCCAGCTCCAAAGGAACTGTTGACAATTATCATATGCAACTGTAAAACAAATATCTGCAATTCTCAAAGATGCACATGTAAGAGACATGGATTGAGATGCACTCACTTGTGCAGTACGTGCCGTGGTTGTGCATGTCTGAGTGCTCAGAGAACTGTTATAAAATAATTTTGAAATAGACATGGCCATTCTGTCAAACAAGATTAGCTAATGAATGCAGGTAATTCATAATGAGATATCGTTTATGAAGTTGAGTAATAGACAACTCCCTTACATAACTTTCAATCGACAAAATGACTTTTTTTCATCATTGTACGTGATGAAATTGTGTCAATATAAGACATTGATCGTTCATTCTATTTCATTATTATTTGGAATGACTATTGTTTGAAACATATTCATCTCAATATTCCTTCATGTTAGCAATTGTCACACAATTTCAAAATGAAAGTTTTGGCATAATCGTAGCATAAATATGCATGTGGATGTCGGAAATACGTTTTTCATATTTTTGGGAATGTTTTTTTCAAAAATAGAACAATATGATGAGACTAATCCCTTTTAAACCATATAATTCTGAAAAGCCTGTAATCTGAGCTTTAATTTGATATATAACATGACACAATAGAGTTGATTGCAATAAAGTTTGCATTTCTATCTAAGATTTCGAAAGCGAAGATGAGCCCTATGACCTTGAGGGTCGAATTTGACCTTGTTCCACCAATGAGATTTTCCTAGACTTTTTATATGTTATAAAGGAATGGTTCAAGGTCTTAAAACAGTTGAAATCATTTCTGTTGCAATCTGTGGTGGGTTAGGTCAAAATCTAACCGGGATGACTGGACTAAGTATATTCAAACCGGGTCCAGATCTAGCGGGCATGACGTCGACAACACACGTCGGCGCACACGTCTTAACCTGACCGCTTCCGTCCCGGCCGTAATGCCCAGTCCTTCCACGTCAACTGTCCATGTATCCCACATAAAACGTGGCATGTCAGGTATTTTCCAAATTGGGAATAGTAGGGTGGTTATCAACAATTATTTCCGTGAATAAAGTTAGCGGCGACTAAATTTAGTGAGTTCACGGCTTGATTTGGGGCGAGTCTATTGTCATACAGTAGGGGAGATCAATAATTCGTTTGAGAAAAATCAAATAATTGTACTTGCTCACAGTATAAACTGTATTTTTTATATATTAATGTATGCTACTTGCTACAAATACAAGCATATTGGTTCCTGAAATAGAGCATGTATGTTGTTGAAAATGTCTTATTTTGTTCATTACACAACCTGTCCTTGAACGGGACGATTCCAAGCGATTTCCAGGGAAAAGGCCCCTTCACGCCTTATGTTCTTGCGCACCAAACAATTCGGTTTTAGAACGCTTATCAGTCGTGCTAGAATGAAGTACTCTGTTTTCAATATTGCGGTCCTTTATCGTTGATTTAAGACCGCTAAATGTTGAAAAAATACAGTTTATACTGTGAGCAAGTAGAATTATTTGATTTTTCCCAACCGAATTATTGATCTCCCCTACTGTATGACAATAGACTCGCCCCAATTCAAGCCGTGAACTCGCTAGATGACCTGGGATAGGGGTCAAGAAATTCTTCTTCAAACCATTCGCTTTTTATTTCAAATACCAAAGATGCTGCCGAGGTAGACTCACAACTAGTCTCTGAAATGAACATATTTTACAGAAAAATGTTCAAAGTAAAAAAAATAAAATAATGAAAAGGAGCCCTGAGACTTTCTTCATTTTCTGAAGCTGAGGAAATCTAGACTTGCCACATTTTCTAGACTTGCGTGGGCTTTCTTGGATATATTGGCTTCAAGGTAGAAATTGCCGATGTCCGACATGTTTGTTTACAAACAATAGGGTTAACGAGTTCGTTGTATTCATACGCGGTGAATTGGCCACTTTAATTAGCGGCCTTAAACTGCCATTTAAGTACGGTTTTGATGAGCTCTCAGCCAATCAGAATCGAGTCTCACACAATGTCGTGCTAGAATGCCCCTTATAATCCATTATATAAACTCGATAAAAACAAGGCTAATATGAGAGATAATGCAATGTCACGTTGGCCGTTACCCTCCATCGACGTATAATCTAAACCCCCATAGCCACCGCACGCGCAGGTGTGATTGTGCTGTCCTAATTATGTCACATGGCATACGACATAGCGCAACAGCTCAGGACAAGTCCTAATTCTTCATCAGTGTGGGCCCAGGCTTGAACAGTGTCCAGGATAACTATGCAACTCAAAGGGAAGACAGCATTTCTCACAGGAGGTGTAGGGGGAATTGGCATTGCATTTGCGCAAGCGTTGTTGGATAAAGGCTGCAAGGTAAAATACTCTCAATACAGCCAAACTATTTCGTCGCGTTAACCTTGTTCATGGCTGAGTTGCAGGATTGAATATTTACAGACCACCGTGGCCCGGCGTTTACAAACATTCACAACACATTTAGAAATCACTAATGTTCACGTATCAATGTATTTTGATTAAACCAGAACAGGAAGCAAATGGAAACTGACCATTTTTATAACCCCTACCTCGGCCCTCCCTTTTATTAAAGCTAGCTGTATATTATACACTTTATTTTACAATGACTGTCTTGACATGTACTACTTTCGTTGAAATCATGAAATTCTTCGGACACGTATTTCCCAGATCAAGTCTTATAATCGGTAGGACGGATCAGCTGTCTATACGGTGTATGTGCGACATTGCTATCAACCTCAAACGTTAAGGGCTTAGCCTTACGACCATAATTGCTTCTTTCACATTTTTTTATATCTCTACAAACAATGGAGATAGTTTTATAACAATCTGAGACACCTGCTCCATAATTAGTGTAGTGCACTCACGCAATCGTTTCAAACTTGCGCTGCTTTATACGGCCTTTACTCAGACGACTGGACGAAAACTTCAAGCGAAAGCACCGGCAAGTTGTGACAATCAGCTGCAGTGACAATGACTATAAAAAGTTCAAATGTCAGTGATCAGTTTTTCATAAGTTTGAGTTATTAGAATCTGGATAATGCCTTAATTTGAATGTTGAGCATCGCAACATTATCATAGGGCAGGAGGCTGGACAGTCAAGGTCTCATGTCCTTTCAAAACTGAACAGAGTTAACATATACAGCTCGTTTCACCGCAGACTTCCTTCTTAATTCGAACGCCAGTATCTTGCCATGGCCTTCCAGATCTAATCACACTTGCCAACGTGTAGCAGGGAAAGCCCACATAATATAAAATATTTTTTTGCAAACTTTCTTCTTTAAGAGTGCATGTGCATATGTTGTTCCTCTTATACCTTTTGGTCTGTATGCAAGTACGTATACACTGACATTTATACCTGAAATCTCTTTTCTGAATATGACGCTTTGTGTATGGTTAACGGAATACCGCTTGCCTAACCCAGGTGTGTATCACCGACATCAACGCAGATGCTGGCAGGAAGCTGGAGACACAGCTGAGGCGCAAGTACCACGATAACGTAGTGTTTATACAGTGTGACGTCACTAGTGCCAGCAACATGGAAGGTGAAGAACGTCATGTGACCCAGTAACAAGGCTGCAGATATACGCCATTTCCGAGTAAAAAGCTGAATGTGATAATATTTGATCTTAGTTTCTATAGATTTCTACAAATTACAATAAGGACTGAGGAATATAATATGTGTGGAGAGAAGAAGGTCGGTGGTTCGTTCCCTTTGCCGAGTCATACCAAAGTATGGTGCTTGCTGCTAGTAGTGCTACCCTGCCTAGCGCTCAGCATGTAGGGAATAAAGATGGTCTCATCATCTCTGGCACTGTATAATGTCCCAGAGTGAAGCACGTTAAACCGAGAAATAGTATCTCAGTGGGTTGGCGCTATAATTATAGCCATGTACGTGCATACCAATTTCGCCTCTCAGTTAATAATGTTCTTTCATTCAGTGGAGACATCTTGAAACATGTTGATACAAAATACAATACAATTTGACAATTTTACTGTCACTGTGAACATGCTCCAGGCATGTTTGTGGTAGGGTAGTGGACAAGTGACCGTGTAACCCCAGTATGTTAGTCATATCAAAGTTTAGAGGATACAGAGGGATGAGGTGAATCGGACATAAGTCGCGTCGTGTGTCCATGCGTGCGTGCGTGCGTGCGTGCGTGCGCGCGCTCGCGCTTGTACTAGTCCGGACGAACGCTGATTTAGTAGTTCCACCTTACTGAGGTACCATGCCTCAGTTTCAACATGAATACCTTGCTCAGATATTTTAAGCAGCAGATATTGTATTGCGGTTCTATAAAGAGCGCCAGGCAAAAAGAACCATCTTTTCGCATCTTTAGGTTTGACGTGACCGGGATCTGCTTGCCGGACAACCGCTCTGTCCACTAAAAATGGAGGGGGTGATGATTCGTTATTATGAATCGGGACAAAAACTTGGAACATATATACACAACTACAGTTTGAACACTAGAGTCCGAGTAATGATCATGGACGTAGTAGAATTCCAAGCCTAAAACAAATTCAGGTGTCAACAATATTGTGAATAAACATTTTTTTACTATAAAGTAGTCCAAATAGAAAGGTTAAATTGCGTTCAAAATGTACAATATTCCGAAAACCAGAACATATGTATTGAGCTCCACTGAAAACTAAATATCTTCAAGATTTAATTATGGCTGTGTTGTGGCCAAAACAAGTTTGAGCTTCCAGCTAATGTCTAAGAGCAAAGATCAAATCAAGGTCAAAATCCAAATATGTGTGATATTTATCAACACAGATGTTTTCAAGACGGCGGTGGCACGGTTCGGGTGTGTGGACATAATGCTGAACAACGCAGGCATCATGCACGAGGGACGCTGGGAGGACATGATCAGCATCATGATGGTCAGTCACCTTAGTGATCAGCTGTGTGGACGTATCATGTAAGCAGAATGGACGAGACAATTAGTTGTTATGCACAGTCCCATCCAATCACTGGAATTACCATACATTTGTACTTACAGCGGGGTACTGTGATCGGAACGGAGTTAGCCATTGCTCACATGAGGAAGGATAAAGGGGGTAGAGGAGGGGGTCGTAATCAACACAGCGTCTTGTGCAGGTGAGCTAACTGAACGACGACACTGTTATGAACATGAAACTTAAATCACCACTAAGCTATTACTACTACCCGTGAAGGTCCGGGTTAGAATATTGATCTTCAGTAACCCATGCTTGTCGTAAAAGGCGACTAACGGGATGGGGTTGTCAGACTCGCTGACTTGGTTGACACATGTCATCGCTTCCCAATTGCGCAGATCGATGCTCATACTGTTGATCACTGGATTGTCTGGTCCAGACTCGATTATTTACAGACCATCGCCGTATAGCTGGAATATTGCTGAGTGCGGCGTAATACTAAACTCACTCGCTATTACTACTGATCAATATATAAGGGCATATCCATTGAGGATGATCGAATTAAATAGCAGTCGATTTATTCATATTGCAGTTTGGTATAATATAATATTCATTTTATCGAAAACGCGTTACACATTGCTTTCACTGAACACGTCCATACTAGGTTCCCCTAATGCAGACTACAGATATGCGTTAACAAGAATAAATGACAATCAGAACATGTTGGGTTGCTCTACGTGTGTTGCAGGTATCTACGTGTACTTCACCACACCCGTCTACTGTGCTGCAAAATCTGGCGTCGTCGCTCACACGCGAGCTTGGGCGGTAAGTCCCGTGTGAATATTGTTTTACGTTGATGTTCTGTCAGGCTGTAATTCATGGACGACACTCATATGTGTCAACTTGAACCTGGTCTGTATTATGTCAGAACCACCATCTGGATTGATCCATGAAATGTTCTCAGGAATTCAGTTGTACGTTCATCCAGTCTTGCAGCAAAACACTCACAAATGGATTAACTGATTTCAGGACATCCCGGACCGGGAACAGCTCGGCCTAAGGTTCGCTTGCATATGTCCGAAGCCAGTGGACACTCCACTGATGGACATCACGCGGGAGAGCGTGAATTACTACCAATACGAGTATGATGCATGTCAACAGCAGGGGAGAATGAAGTAAGTTTCTACCTCACCAGGATGCATCATCACCTCACCACCCCGCATCATGACTTCACCACACCGCATCATGACTTCACCAACCTGCATCTTCACGTCACCAACCTATATCATCACCTCACCAACATGTATCATCAGTTCACCAACCTATATCATCACCTCACCAACATGTATCGTCACCTCACCAACCTGTATCATCACTTCACCAACCTATATCATCACCTCACCAACATGTATCATCACGTCACCAACCTATATCATCACCTCACCAACATGTATCATCACTTCACCAACCTATATCATCTCCTCACCAACATGTATCATCACCTCACCAACCTGTATCATCACCTCATCAACATGTATCATCACCTCACTAACATGTATCATCACCTCACCAACATGTCTCACCAACATGTATCATCACCTAACCAACATGTATCATCACCTCAACAACCTATATCATCACCTCACCAAAATGTATCATCACCTCACCAACCTGTATCATCATTTCACCAACCTATATCATCACCTCACCAACATGTATCATCACCCCACCAACCTGTATCATCACCTCATCAACATGTATCATCACCTCACCAACATGTATCATCACCTCACCAACATGTCTCACCAACATGTATCATCACCTCACCAACATGTATCATCACCTCACCAACATGTATCATCACCTCACCAACCTGCATCATCACTTCAGCCAACCTGTATCATCACCTCATCAACATGTATCATCACCTCACCAACATGTATCATCACCTCACCATGTATCATCACCTCACCATCCCGTATCATCACCTCACCAACATGTATAATCACCTCACCAACCTGCATCATCACTTCATCAACCTATATCATCACCTCACTAACATGTATCATCACCTCAACAACCTGTATCATCACCTCATCAACCTGTATCATCACTTCACCAACATGCATCATCACCTCACAACCTGTATAATCACCTCACCAGCCTGCATCACCTCACCAACCTGTATCATCACCTCACCAACCTGTATCATCACCTCACCAACCTGTATCATCACCTCACCAACATATATCATCACCTCACCAACCTGCATCATCACCTCACCAGCCTGCATCATCACCTCACCAACCTGTATCATCACCTCATCAACATGTATCATCACCTCACCAACCTGTATCATCACCTCACCAACCTGCATCACCTCACCAGCATGTATCATCACCTCACCAGCCTGCATCATCACCTCACCAACCTGTATCATTACCTCACCAAAATGTATCATCACTTCACCAATCTGTATCATCACCTCACCAACCTGTATCATCACCTCACCAGCATGTATCATCACCTCACTAACATGCATCATCACCTCACCAACCTGTATCATCACCTCACCAACATGCATCATCACCTCACCAACCTGTATCATCACCTCACCAACCTGTATCATCACCTCACCAACCTGCATCATCACTTCGCCAACCTGTATCATCACCTCATCAACATGTATCATCACCTCACCAACATGTATCATCACCTCACCAACATGTATCATCACCTCACCAACCTGTATCATCACCTCACTAGCCTGCATCATCACCTCACCAACCTGTATCATCACCTCACCAACCTGCATCATCACTTCATCAACCTGTATCATCACCTCACTAACATGTATCATCACCTCACCAACCTGTATCATCACTTCATCAACCTGTATCATCACTTCACCAACCTGCATCATCACCTCACAACCTGTATAATCACCTCACCAGCCTGCATCACCTCACCAACCTGTATCATCACCTCACCAACCTGTATCATCACCTCACCAACATATATCATCACCTCACCAACCTGTATCATCACCTCACCAGCCTGCATCATCACCTCACCAACCTGTATCATCACCTCATCAACATGTATCATCACCTCACCAACCTGTATCATCACCTCACCAACCTGCATCACCTCACCAGCATGTATCATCACCTCACCAGCCTGCATCATCACCTCACCAACCTGTATCATTACCTCACCAACATGTATCATCACTTCACCAATCTGTATCATCACCTCACCAACCTGTATCATCACCTCACCAGCATGTATCATCACCTCACTTACATGCATCATCACCTCACCAGCCTGCATCATCACCTCACCAACCTGTATCATCACCTCACCAGCCTGCATCATCACCTCACCAACCTGTATCATCACCTCACTAACATGCATCATCACCTCACCAACCTGTATCATCACCTCACTAGCCTGCATCATCACCTCACCAGCATGTATCATCACCTCACTAACATGCATCATCACCTCACCAACCTGTATCATCACCTCACTAACATGTATCATCACCTCACCAACCTGTATCATTACCTCACCAACCTGTATCATCACTTCACCAACATGCATCATCACCTCACAACCTGTATAATCACCTCACCAGCCTGCATCATCACCTCACAACCTGTATAATCACCTCAACAGCCTGCATCATCGACTCACCAACCTGTATCATCACCTCACCAACCTGTATCATCACCTCACCAACATGTATCATCACCTCACCAACCTGAATCATCACCTCACCAGCCTGCATCATCACCTCACCAACCTGTATCATCACCTCATCAACATGTATCATCACCTCACCAACCTGCATCATCACCTCACCAACCTGCATCATCACCTCACCAGCCTGTATCATTACCTCACCAGCCTGTATCATTACTTCACCAATCTGTATCATCACCTCACCAACCTGTATCATCACCTCACCAACCTGTATCATCACCTCACCAGCCTGCATCATCACCTCACCAACCTGTATCATTACCTCACCAACATGTATCATCACTTCACCAATCTGTATCATCACCTCACCAACCTCTATCATCACCTCACTAGCCTGCATCATCACCTCACCAACCTGTATCATTACCTCACCAACATGTATCATAACATCACCAACATGCATCATCACCTCACCAACCTGTATCATCACCTCACCAGCCTGCATCATCACCTCACCAACATGTATCATCACTTCACCAACCTGTATCATCACCTCACCAACCTGTATCACCACCTCACCAACCTGTATCATAACCTCACCAGCATGTATCATCACCTCACTAACATGCATCACCACACCAACCTGTATCATCACCTCACTAGCCTGCATCATCACCTCACCAACATGTATCATCACCTCACCAACATGTATCATCACCTCACCAACATGTATCCTAACATCACCAACCTGTATCATTACCTCACCAACCTGTATCATTACCTCACCAACCTGTATCATTACCTCACCAACCTGTATCATTACCTCACCAACATGTATCATTACCTCACCAACCTGTATCATTACCTCACCAACAATCACATGTTTGCTCAATATGCCTCTGTTGCCAGGACGGAGACTATAGCTGAAGGTCTTGTGGGCCTCCTCGAAGATGACGGCAGTAATGGAGCTATCCTCTTCATCTCCAAAGATGAGGGCTTTGCCAGAAAGAAGATCTTGGTTGTCAATGAGTCAGACTTGAAGCATGCCTAGAGGCTTCACTGCAAGGATAGGGGGTTTAGTTATACCTACCTGTCTAAGTATGAATGATAACTGAAGACATCATAAACAGGGCTTGGTTTTCAAAAGGTTTTAAACAGGGAGAGAGCATAAGTAAACAATTCATTCAACATACAGGGAAAACCATGATAAACATTTGTATGTATCAATAAACTATTCTGTATTGTCTGGCACTACAATTCAGGTTATGTTGTCTTGACTACATGTCAGGTATTCATTTGTAACCTCATGTATCACTAAGTGGCAATAACTCTCTCTAGAAAGGTTTGAATTTCAGACATGGGACTGATTACAATGTGAAGACTTATATCAGAAATGGACACGAGACCATGGCACATAGTGTTGGGAGAAAGTGATGCAGCAGTTCTTCACCGGGTTAAATCTGGAATCTGAACCCACACTTTCATACACACTAGGCTTCTGGCATGTTATTTAATGTAACAATGAAGTTGCATTCATATCCTCAAAACAACAACAACCCTACAGTTATTTAGGCAACTCAATTGCATGCAATACAACAATTACTACTCATATGTTGTCATCCATGTTTGGTGGTATAAACCTTCACCACAAAATACAAGAAAACAAAAACATCTTCACCTGTGTATTTGTTATTATTATTTTATTATTATTGGATATTTGCATGTGCATGCTCAAGGAGCTGGTATTTTTTCCCTCGATCATTGGATGTCAGCACGTCTTATTATCAATCTCAACTCCCTGGGGAGTGGCTTTCCCATCCTTACGAGGTACCCATTCACAGCTGGGTGGCCTGGGACACATAGTCACAGTACTTTGTCCAAGTTCACTGCACATTGCTGTACCCTCAACTATAGTCCGTTTGGCTCAAAAGCGGACCGATGAATTGCAATCTAACTCGAAAACTAATAAACATAAAATACTCCATGAAACAATGATCATAATCAAAACTTCAGATCAACTCTGTCATTTGTTTGCAGAATTTATGTCCTAAAATTAAAAAAGTTGTTTAACAAACTATCATTAAAATATTGACACAGTTCACTATTTGTTACGAGGGAGGAGTGCAGAGAAAGGGACAGCCAGGTGTGCGAGAAAGGATGGAGACGGCACAGCACAGGTTAATGAATCAATAACTTTGTCGGCACTTGTGCACGTGCTTCTCTAACACCTGGCTGTTTTCACACTAGTTTTCGAGTTAGATTGCAATTCATCAGTCCGCTTTTGAGCCAAACGCACTATAGGTGTTTGCACGTATTCATGTGGCCACCATCTGGTCATATACCAACGGATTCGTGGGTTCTTTTAAGTGCACAGGGTTGTGTACTGTACACTAGGGGTTGTGACAACACTGAAAGTGTCTGCACACAAAGTTTTACTCCTAGGTTTTTACACCCGGTCACAGGTGGGCTCGATCCCGGCACCTTATGCTCGCTGGATCACTAGCCTGGCGCCTTAGCCAGCTCACCCACCATGCCCCTCAGGTATAACTAGTGGCATCACAGGCATAATTAGTGGAAACACAGCTCAGATTACCTGACAAAGGTTCCCATTTGGCATTTCTCATGTCTACTCAATAACTCAGGTGTGATGTGGCAAATGTATTACATGTTATGTAAAATGTATGTAGAAGCACAGATAGAGTGGAATAATCTTGCACTGTAGATTTGTCAAAAGTTAGCGTTTATGTGGATATTGACTGATACATTCCTTGAGGCAAGGTCACTGCCTGATAGTATTCATATTACTTTTGTCAACTTGTAATATACTATTATATTCACATTTTGTTTCCATTCATTTGTTGCAGCATTGAGCAGTATTATTCCACTTCAATTAGTCATTGTTGGGAGGTTCTTCGATGTGAGACACACAACATTAACATGTTATGTTCACAAGCCTTCTTGTTGTAGGTGTGTATGTGTAAAATATTATATACTTAGGGTATTTATAAATTACCCTAGTTATCACAATAATTTTACAAATTTCCTAAAATTTCAGACAGAGTCAAATGAAGTTCTACAGTGCATAAAAAACATAATAATAAATTACTTATGCTAGGATTATATGACAGAAATACAGAGGCATACACTGACTTCCGTTTCCTTTCAATCCTAATATTTTTAGTCACTGGGATATGTAGGAAATGTTTGAAATTGTCCAAATAAACTAGATTTCCCAATTAATTCCAAGACAAAATCTGTATTTCATCTCTGTTGACGATTGTGACAATACGTGCTTATAGTATCAGCTGCGCAGCGGATGTCAAGAAAGAGTAGTGAATTCTGGGATATCATTCTTATGTAATAATTTTTATTATTCATAGCTATGTCCATCTATAATTTAAAGTTTGCATATTATCTATGCCATGAACTTCATAACAAAACATGTGGACCATATCCACATCACTAGCCACTTTTCTGGTGTAAGGCACTATCTGCACTACATTACAAACAGCCAGTGACAGTGTAGCCTACACATTATAGTCTCCAATGCATGGTTGTGTACAGTGTATGAATTAATTTTGAGAAGTAACTAGACATGAAGGCTAGTTAAGTAAAAATGCTGCTAGCACACATCATACTTCACTGCACCTGCAAAATATCAATATCAAAATGCACATCGACAAAGCTGATTGGATACTAGTAGAGCATTAGCCAATAAGCTTAAATGCTACATTTGTATATAGTAATGGTTCCTTACCTCCCTAATGCTATTAACATGTTTTATATAGCAATCTTTGTGTGACAAGAGATAACAAATATCATGAAACTTTTGTGGACATTTAACACCTTAATAATTGACTTCATCATATTCATGTGCATTAAATAAAGAACAAATTATCTCAGATTTTCAGCTAGCTAGTCAGGATAGCTTTAACAGAATATTACTAGCCTGATTCACAATCAGCTAGCAGGCCAGTAGCTATTTCGAACACTGGTTGTATAGCTCTCACATGACGAACATACAATCATTACAAAGATCCTCCTGTTATGTATGACATTTTCTCAGACTCTTCAGTGATAGATAAAAGACGCTACCTGTACATTATCAGACGATAATGTACAACTTTAGCAAAACGTCACAATGTATTATCGGACACACATTCAGACACACATGCACCACCCCAGTACGATTGTCTAGGGGACATTCAGACACACATGCACTACCCCAGTATGATTGTCTAGGTGACATTCAGACACACATGCACAACCTGAAGGTGGTGAGAGTCAAGAGTGTGTTCTGCTGTAGCAGGGGTGGAAATAACTTTAAAGTTGCTAGTGTACTCCGCTACAGTGGCACATGTAAAATAACTTACCCTGATCATTTTTCCACTATACTGGACGTTTTCTTGTTGATTTTTTAAATAAACAACATTATTAACATGGGAAAGTCAACTGGACACCGGTACAGCGTGATATACAAATTTGCTTGCCCAACAGAAAAAACTCAGACGTCAGGCAATGGGTTATTTCCACCCGTGTTGGCAACATCTACAAACAGATTATATTGTTTTCTGATGAACATTAAAATGTCAGACAACTTCATTTTGCACCATTCCTGTTTACACCACAACTAAACCCACAGATATGCATTATAAGCAAGCTTTGGCATTGCATAAGCAGTATTTATGGTCTAAGTCAAAGAGATAAACAATCCTTGAGTGTTGTTCACATTTATAGAATGTGCATATCATACTTACAACAAGAATGTGCATATCATACTTACAACAAGAATGTGCATATCATACTTACAAGAATGTGCATATCATACTTACAACAAGAATGTGCATATCATACTTACAACAAGAATTTGCATATCATACTTACAACAAGAATGCAAACATTTAAATTGTGCGCCCTGCATTAGCATGTGTGTGCAAATTGTCACAATCGCAAATCACAATCATTGGGATGCCTTCAAGAACATGAACATGCCTGACAGATGAATTAATCAATTTCAGAATACATTTTAATTTTATTGAACTCTGTGATTAGCATACATGTAATGGTCATGTTTGTTAACTTAACAAACACTGAAATTGATACATATTCAAAGTACAATGTATATAGATACTGTATACTAAACCAAAACTATTAATGACATATAAGCAGAAATTGATTCCCATCTCTATGGTTACACAGTGTACATGTAACAAGCACAAAACAATGCTAAAAGTTAATAATAATAACAATAATAATACTTTATTGCCTTTTCAGGAATTTAAGTTACATCGACAGAGCTACTGACACATCAGAGAGATACAAATACATAACATATTTACATAAATTCATGAATTTAAGAATCTTTACATTTGTTGAAAAGAGATATGGTAGATGGATTAAGGAGGTACAGGCTCTCTCAGTTTTCACAATTGGAACTTAGTAGCTGCAGCCTGAAGGGAGGAGCTTGTATTCCAAATGTAAGTCGTGAGTTTGGTCAGACATACTTTTGACAGCTTGATTCACGATTTGCCACTCATATATTGATGATAAACATTAAAATATGACTCCAGTGATTTTACTTGCAGTGTTAACAATTCTGTCTATTTTAGATTTGAGATGAACTGAGAGAGACCCGTACCAACAATGGAAGGAAAATGTTAAAATACTTCGAATAAATGCTACATAAATTGATGACATCACAGATGGGTTAACATGAAAAAATCTGAGTTTACGCATCGAGATAAAGACGTTGCTGACACTTGTTGTATACAGCTTCAGTGTTAGAGTTCCAGTTCAGCTTCAAAGAAGTGAATGAAGGTTCCCAGATACTTATGCTCCGACAATGTCTCAACACATTCACCGTTGATTGTCACTGGAAGCAATTCTGTGGGCTTACTCCGACAAGTTAATTACCAATGTTTTTATGACATTTAAGAGTAAGTGGTTGTCTGCACACCAAGTCATGAAATGATTAATATCCTCTTTATACAGTTTTTTCAGAATCAGTGTGCATCTGCAAACTTGAAAGTTGAACAGGTTGAATTAGAGCTTTCACAACCATTAGTGTAGAGGGTGAAAAGAACAGGAGATATTATACAGCCTTGTGGTTGTAAATAAATCTGGAAAATAAACTACTTAAATATTGTCTCAGTTGCCTTTTTGTGATTAATTCATAATACAAAAAGGCAAGAATTTATGGATGCCAACTTCTTTATTTTGCTGGACATGACCTTTCAGAGTATACTTCAGGTGAATGTGGTTGTGGTTCTTGTTGTTGTGTTCAGAAATAGTGGATTTGAGGTTGAGTTTGTTGTCAGACGTTTGGTGTTCTTTGATGTGCCGATGTATGATATACACATCCCCTGGGGCTTCTGCCATTGGCTTGCAGGAGGGTTTTGATAGTTTTGGTACTGGCGAAGGTGCATCTATGTTAGCTTTGTTCTTCACTAGCCAGGAGATCTGATGGCTGACAGGGTCTAGGTATGGGATGGTGATGCTGATGGGTGATGGGGCAGCTTTGGGTTTAGGCTTGGAAGTGTTGAGGGTCTTGTTGATGGTTTTTGAGACTAGATGTGCAGGGTAACCATTGAGTGAGATGAAGGTGTCCTTCAGATGGTTCAGTTCATTGCTGAGAGCATCAGGATGACAAATTGCTTTTGCACGTCTGGTGAGGGTGGTGATGACGGCATGTTTTATCTGAGGATGGTGGCAGGAGTTGTAATGGATGTACTGGTCTGTGCGTAGGCTTGTGGTAAACAGAAGTTCATAGTCCAGTTTCTGTAGTTTGGAGGGGCATGTCTAGGAAGGGAGGGTGATGGTTTGTTTCTGTCTCCACAGTGAACTGGATTCTTTGGTACTGGGCATTGAGGTGATCAAGTAGTTCTGTGGGATAGTCCTGGGGGGCTATGGTGGTGAATGTGTCGTCTACTTTCCAGTACCATCAGAGAGGTTTGAATGGTACTGTGGAGAGCTGATTATTCGGAGAATGTAATAAATATTTCAGTGGTGAGTGGAGACGCACCATCATGTGGGAAGCCACCAAAGGTCTATCTACTACCAATAACAACTGGCGACAAAGGAAGCTGTAAGAGGCCATAGACATCAGGATATCCCAACCAGCAAATAACGTAAAATTTCAGAATACAGAAACTTATGGGATGAAATAAAATATTGATATATGACCATAACAACAATTAAACAACAGTTATAGCTTTAACAGATACAGTACAACCAGAAATTATTGAGAATTTAAAGATTGTAATTTTTTTTATTGTTTTCACTCATTACTCATGTATTAAATGTGAATATTAGCAGAACATAACTCCAGATTCAAAGACAGGTGAACAGTTAGTATTTTGTCAAGTCACCATGGGCAGCAATGCACGCTTCAATGCGGCGGGACATACTACTGATCAAAGAAGTTAGAAAGTCGTGGTCCATGCTGTCCCAATATCGGACCACCTCTCCTTTCATTTCAGCAATATTTGTCCGATTTTTCTTATTGACACTTTCCTTCATAAGTCCCCAAACATTTTCTGTTGGATTTAGGTCAGGGCTATAGCTTGGCCAATCTAATAATGTCATATTTGGGGTCCGAAACCAGGCCTGTGAATGCTTTGAACGATGTTTTAGGTCGTTGTCCTGCTGGAAAATCCAAACATTTCCATAGAACACGTGAGCAGATGGAAGGAAATGTCCCTCGACAATATCTGTGTACCACTCACTGTTCATATTCCCTTCAAATACACAGAAGGGGCGTTGCCCCTAACACAGATATGCCACCCCACACGTTAAATTTCGGACTGTACTTTGGGCGCTGATACAAAGGTTTTTCAGTTTGTTTGGTCCAGAATTTCAGTGTATTAGGAAACAGCCACACAGAACTTTCATCTGAGAAAATCACATTGTCCCAGTTAAAATTTCTATGCTGTAAGCACCGGTCAACCTTCGCTCCTTTTGTTCAGGTTTCATGATCGGTGATGGAATTCCTCGACATTTCTGCCAACCCATTGCATGCAGCTCAGTTCTAATTGTTTCTTTACAGACAGCCACAGTTCCTCTATCAATCATATCCAGCCTCAAGTTTTCTAAACTCCTTCGTTTGTTTCTAGAAACAAGAATACCAAGCCGCCTCCTGTCACCGACAGTCAATTTTCTAGGCCTACCTGCGCCTCCCTGGTGTTCAATGCCATATCCATTTGCAATATTTTTCAAAACACAATAAACAGTGGACAAAGGGATGCCTGTTCTACTTGAAATCACTTGAGCTGATCTGATGTCCTTGATATAATTCTCTAAAATCAACTTCCTCTTCTCTAAATCATCCATACTGAGCATCACTGAAAATGTCGTCGGCTAGCAAGTAAACAAAGGGGGATAACTCTTCACAAACTAATGACAAAGGATTAGCAGAGTTGTCTCTCTTGAATGAAACCAAACACTTGATAGCTGGTCAAAGTTGATTATACTAGAAATCCAATTAAACATATTCCTTAAATTCTCAATAATTTCTGGGCATACTATATATACATCATGTATAATGTACAAGTATAATTTCTGTTTAAATGCCACATGAATATTTGGTTGGTTTCTGACTGGTTTTGTAAACTAGACTGAGTACATGATACCACTACAATATCACTACCAAGTATGGAGATATTCTATGTTATCACAGGTTTTCACAGTTATATATTTGCAATGCAAGTTAATTGATGAAAAATGAAAAAAAAGGTGCAAATATAATGTACAACCTTCCCGAACAACGAGGCCAACATTAAATGTTTCAGATAATTCTGCAAGCCACGCCAAGCCAAGCCAAGCCAATTCTAACAACAAATCATTACAATTTTTACACAAATCATAATACATGAAAAGAGTTAACAAAGATAGATACTCATTTACAACACTACCAATATCTACCACATGCTCCATAACATTGAATTATTGTAACTATAAGATCCTTCAGAATGGTAAAGTAAAAACATGACTATAAGTGTAATAATATAATAACATCTATAAGTATAGTACTATATTCCCAGTAGCCTCTATCACTAAGACAAATATCTGGTATCAGAGCTCTCTGTCTGGAGTCTCTGTAGTTTCTGACTCTGTGACCTTGTCTACCTTGTAAAAATATCTGGTATCAGAGCTCTCTGTCTGGAGTCTCTGTAGTTTCTGACTCTCTGTGACCTTGTCTACCTTGTAAAAATATCTGGTATCAGAGCTCTCTGTCTGGAGTCTCTGTAGTTTCTGACTCTCCGTGACCTTGTCTCTGTAAAAATATCTGATCAGGCTCTCTGTCTGGAGTCTCTGTGTTTCTGACTCCATTGACCTTGTCTAAAAAATATCTGGTATCAGAGCTCTCTGTCTGGAGTCTCTGTAGTTTCTGACTCTCAGGCTGTGACCTTGTCTGACCTTGTAAAAATATCTGGTATCAGAGCTCTCTGTCTGGAGTCTCTGTAGTTTCTGACTCCATGTGACCTTGTCTACCTTGTAAAAAATATCTGGTATCAGAGCTCTCTGTCTGGAGTCTCTGTAGTTTCTGACTCTCCATGACCTTGTCTACCTTGTAAAAATATCTGGTATCAGAGCTAGTTTCTGACTGTCTGGAGTTGTCTGTAGTTTCTGGTATCTCTCTGTCTGGAGTCTCTGTGACTCTTGTGACCTTGTCTACCTTGTAAAATATCTGGTATCAGAGCTCTCTGTCTGGAGTCTCTGTAGTTTCTGACTCTCCATGACCTTGTCTACCTTGTAAAATATCTGGTATCAGAGCTCTCTGTCTGGAGTCTCTGTAGTTTCTGACTCTCTGTGACCTTGTCTACCTTGTAAAATATCTGGTATCAGAGCTCTCTGTCTGGAGTCTCTGTAGTTTCTGACTCTCTGTGACCTTGTCTACCTTGTAAAAATATCTGGTATCAGAGCTCTCTGTCTGGAGTCTCTGTAGTTTCTGACTCTCTGTGACCTTGTCTACCTTGTAAAATATCTGGTATCAGAGCTCTCTGTCTGGAGTCTCTGTAGTTTCTGACTCTCTCTCTGTGACCTTGTCTACCTTGTAAAATATCTGGTATCAGAGCTCTCTGTCTGGAGTCTCTGTAGTTTCTGACTCTCCGTGACCTTGTCTACCTTGTAAAAATATCTGGTATCAGAGCTCTCTGTCTGGAGTCTCTGTAGTTTCTGACTCTCTGTGACCTTGTCTACCTTGTAAAAATATCTGGTATCAGAGCTCTCTGTCTGGAGTCTCTGTAGTTTCTGACTCTCCATGACCTTGTCTACCTTGTAAAAATATCTGGTATCAGAGCTCTCTGTCTGGAGTCTCTGTAGTTTCTGACTCTCTGTGACCTTGTCTACCTTGTAAAATATCTGGTATCAGAGCTCTCTGTCTGGAGTCTCTGTAGTTTCTGACTCTCTGTGACCTTGTCTACCTTGTAAAAATATCTGGTATCAGAGCTCTCTGTCTGGAGTCTCTGTAGTTTCTGACTCTCTGTGACCTTGTCTACCTTGTAAAAATATCTGGTATCAGAGCTCTCTGTCTGGAGTCTCTGTAGTTTCTGACTCTCCGTGACCTTGTCTACCTTGTAAAAATATCTGGTATCAGAGCTCTCTGTCTGGAGTCTCTGTAGTTTCTGACTCTCCATGACCTTGTCTACCTTGTAAAAATATCTGGTATCAGAGCTCTCTGTCTGGAGTCTCTGTAGTTTCTGACTCTCTGTGACCTTGTCTACCTTGTAAAAATATCTGGTATCAGAGCTCTCTGTCTGGAGTCTCTGTAGTTTCTGACTCTCTGTGACCTTGTCTACCTTGTAAAAATATCTGGTATCAGAGCTCTCTGTCTGGAGTCTCTGTAGTTTCTGACTCTCTGTGACCTTGTCTACCTTGTAAAATATCTGGTATCAGAGCTCTCTATGTCTGGAGTCTCTGTAGTTTCTGACTCTCCATTGACCTTGTCTACCTTGTAAAATATCTGGTATCAGAGCTCTCTGTCTGGAGTCTCTGTAGTTTCTGACTCTCCGTGACCTTGTCTACCTTGTAAAAATATCTGGTATCAGAGCTCTCTGTCTGGAGTCTCTGTAGTTTCTGACTCTCCGTGACCTTGTCTACCTTGTAAAAATATCTGGTATCAGAGCTCTCTGTCTGGAGTCTCTGTAGTTTCTGACTCTCCGTGACCTTGTCTACCTTGTAAAAATATCTGGTATCAGAGCTCTCTGTCTGGAGTCTCTGTAGTTTCTGACTCTCTGTGACCTTGTCTACCTTGTAAAAATATCTGGTATCAGAGCTCTCTGTCTGGAGTCTCTGTAGTTTCTGACTCTCCGTGACCTTGTCTACCTTGTAAAAATATCTGGTATCAGAGCTCTCTGTCTGACTCTCTGTGACCTTGTCTACCTTGTAAAAATATCTGGTATCAGAGCTCTGTGTCTGGAGTCTCTGTAGTTTCTGACTCTCTGTGACCTTCTTCTTACAGTCTATATTTTGACTCCTTGATCTGACTGAGGATAGCAATTTTCATTCATGAGATTTAGTGAGATCAGTGTTATTATATTGTAGATCTCCAACATTTACAATAAAACATGGTCTAACATGAGAGTTCAGACTATGGTATTGGACAGAAACATAAATCTATCTGAAACTAATGAAGTTACTGTTGAAATTGTGTTACTGAGTGTTTATAGTTGACCAAACTTATTCATCCGAAGCCATGGATACCTGTCCGGTGAAACTAGAGCTGAGAAATGACTTCCTTCAAGCTTGGTGTTGATAAAGTCATCGAACTCCTGGCTCTTGGAGCCACTGAGCCAGTGCTTCCAGTCTCCAACTTCACCTGAAACAAAAGTCAACATCATAACTAAGGCTGGGATGAGTTGGGTACTTCAATTACCATTACACAATCGCAATGTTAATTTCCTTACTAACATGAATTTAATTCCTTACAAATTTTACTCTGAACAGAAATATGTTCTTTAAATTAAAGTTTTTTTCTTAAATATTTTAATTGGACTTCTGCTTACATTGAAAGAAAAGTATACTCAAAAATGAATTTTGGATTAACATGCATAACATTACTCACTTACTGTCTGGGAGTCATTCCTATTATCAAGTGATTCCAACTCACCCAAGGGACACAACTCTACACATGTTTATTGCCCCAAGGCCACTGTCAAGCCTACCAATATACTGTCGGTTATCTATCTTGGATCTATTGTATCACTCTTTGCACATGACCAGTCACATGATGAAACGGGTCCTGGTAGTATATTCAAGTCCCAGGTAGTGAAAATATGTACATGACCCAGGTACTTGGGTACATATCCGAGCTCTAATCAACATAATAACTGAAACATTAAGGCAAAGTATAGACATATTTGGGAAAATAAATACAATATCATGAACACACAGCATTTGCTTACCTGAAAACATGAGTTACAGCAACTGCCAACATGCAGAAGTAGTAAAGGTAAAGTAAACACAGCAACAAATGTATATGCAGATATCATCACATCACCAACTGATGCATATCACACATAACTGACTAGACTACCACAGTAATACCCAAAACAGTGAACATATCACATACACACATAGACACTGTCAGTGAGTCATATATTACTGGACATACCACACTGCTACTGAGAGTCTAATCTTACCAGACATACCACTAGAGTCAGGGTGGCAAATACCGTACAGGCGCCTAATTCCGTACAGTTGAATAAAAAATCGAATAAAAAATTGTGTGTCTGTTATCTGTTCGTAACGCAATGGTTTTGTAATCTGGGAAAACCCACGGTCTATTTTAACACTGAGACCCATATGTTACCTCCTTTGTTATCAACGATGTGATTGGTTGTCTCTGGGTGAACCTGCGCATGAGCGCTCCTCTTCGAATCTCTGCACGGAAAGCCCAACCACGCCTCCTAGCAACAACCTACTTCAACATCCAATCGCGGTATGTTTAAAATACACATCATGTTTACAAATATGAAATGAGATTCATTATGTCTTAAGCTTTATAAAAATTAAAAAAACAAATAACAACACCATACAAATATTTTCTGAATCAGTGTAAAATAAAGTGTACGATATTTACAGGACCATGTTATCTCACAATAAACATAGTGCATGTAATACTGTACACCCATTTTTCAGTGATAGAAAATAAAAGTAACGCAATTGAATTGGTAAAAAGCATAACTTCTGTCTTTTAAAAACTTGTAGAATTGATTATTTTACCAAAACCAAAACAAAGCTAAATACATATTTTTAAAGTGTTTTTCTTTGTCACTTTCCAGATGTCAATATTCAATTCCATCAGTCTGCGCGAGGTATTTGGTGTTGGAAACCCATCTATGGCATTTGCTCGCTATTTTCTTAAGAAGATGATGAGTTTTCAGGGGGATGCATCTGAAACCCATGTCACCCTTCTTGCAATCGTGACATTATTGGATCATACGGTATATGGACACACCATATGCAAGACATTATGTAACCTGTTCGGCTATTGGTTTGATGTCGAAGACATGTATCCTGTGATGTACATTGCAAAGAAAGTGTTAAAGGGTTTAGAGCAGAATTTTGAGGAAAGAGATTTGTAAAAAGACAGAGATTATGCTTTGATTTTGTATCTTTTGGAAAGCACTGGAGAATATTAACAAATAAATGAAATAAATATTAGAGTTTAGATGAAATATTAAAACTTCTGTTATATGTTCATTTCAGATGGGGAAAAAAAGGCAATACACAGAGCTAGCATTACAAGAGGCCATTAGTAGCGTTAAGACAGGATGTCTCTACGACAGGCTTCAAAGAGAGGTGGAGCAAGCCATAGCCAATCCAGTAAAAGAAGCAAGCCTCAGGGGTTTCGGTATTACCCGCCAAAACATCTTGATCAAAGTTGCAAGAATCTGCAAAAAACTAAAATTAAAATCCACTTTCAGGAACGGGGTACCTGGGAAGGGGTGGCTCTCTGGATTTCTGAGAAGATGTGTGGTATGCTCAGGATGCTCAATAAAGTAGTTGTTGACAACTGTTTCGATGCCTTAACTGAGACCATAGCAAAACTAAATTTGCAGGACAAACCGCAGCAGGTTTGGAACATGGACGAATCTACCGTTCCTCTCACGCATAAGCCGTCAAAAGTGCTGTCTGAAAGTGGGGTTAAAAATGTACCCGGTCGCGTTGGGAACAGCAGAGACAATGTAACTGTCCTTGCATGTATCAATGCTGCAGGAGAAAGCATTCCACCCATGGCTATTGTAAAGGGCAAAACCAATAAAAGCTTGCAGGCTTATAACACAAGTGCTGGAGTAGAGGGTGCTGTGTACACCTATCAGAGTAAAGCCTAGATGGAAGACGTGCTGGGGGTTCAGTGGTTTACCAACCACTTCCTTCGCCACTGTGGCCCATGAAGACCACAACTCCTCATCCTCGACAGTCACAGCAGCCACGAGACTGTTGAACTCTTGCTTGAAGCGAAGACTAACGATATTACTTTGTTTGCGATGCCACCACACACAAACCCTCTGTCCTCTGGACAAAACGGTATTCGGGCCCATAAGCCGTAACGGGAACAGAATTTGTACTGAATTCATGGCCCAGAGCCCCAATATGGTCAGCAAGTGGGAGTGGCCCCGTCTTTTCATCCAGGCATACGCGGCATCATTCACCTCGCAGAATATTCAAAGTGGGTTCAGAAAGTGTGGTATTCACCCCTTGAACAAAATGGCAATTCCAACCACTGCATATGCACAAAGTCAACCGTTTGATTGCCCACTTTCTGTCTCGTCTGATGAAAATGGAAAAGCACCGGTTGAAGACTCCAGTAGAAGACATTACATCTGCTCCAGAGACGTCTGATACTGGAGTCGACACACCTTCTGAAGCTGTTGCAGCTATTCCTGAGGGTGCTACACTCCTGTCAAAGGAAGAGTTCATTCTCTCTGTTTTGACAGGAGATGTCCCAATTTCAATGGACGAGACTGGTAATGTTGTTGTTGAAATGGAAAGCACGAGCATGAGTGTGGAGGCAGAAGTACATGAGGTGGTCCGTGAATTTTCTATTCCAAAAATTGAAGAAAAGAAACAACCCCAAAAACCCAACACCCGAAAACTAACTTCCCACAGGATTCTTACAAGTGATGAGATAATAAAACAAAAGCTTGAAAAAAGGGAAGAAAAACAGAAACAAGAAGAGACAAAGAAACAGGGACAGTTAATAAAAACATAAAAAAACTAACTTTCTCAAAGTAGCAACGATGTGCATTTCGTTCTGTTGGGTCAATTCGATAATTTGAACGTCTCATGTTGCTTACTTAATCCAAAAGAAACTGTTGTTGTTCATGGTGTATTGTTTTTCGGAAGCCTATTTTACAAGTTTAGAAATTGTAAATAGGAAACTTCCCTTTTTAATTGAAGTTTTCAGATGACATAAATAAAAGCATCTTGAGTTATATAACTTCTTTGTGGTTTAAGGATGGCAAGTAATGGCATTTTTTAAAGTATTGAGTTTTCAGTCGTGGATTAAATCAAATATACTTCTCTTCAAAAGTGTAGACTCACTTATATCTTTCGTGAATGATCTTTTAAATTTTACAGCTTGTTTTAGAATACCTTTATCATTAGTATGCATAATCAGTAAACGATTGGAACACCGTGACTTATTCCGTTAAAATAATATGGCTTAACAAGTGAGTCTAAACTTTTGAAGAGAGGAATATGATAAAATATGATAAAATGACCATTTTATCCCAACATCGTTATCACAATAACTGTCTTTGTTTAGGTAAACACAATAAAACAATTGCGCTGTCTTTTTTAAATGTTAATAATGATGTCTCACATGACAGATCTGCACTAGACACACCTCGAGTTATTTCCTCACTGTCAACTGTATATCAAGTGACTAGTTGAAGATTGATTCATCAAAATCATAGGACTTGCACCAGGTAATGAACTGAATAACTGCAAACAATTCGCGAAACAAACAGAATACAGTAAAAAGATATTTGATAAACACCAGAACTATTAAATGCGTAAACCTTACACATTCGTTTTAGTACAATGCAATGTGAAGACACACTCTGCATATGGTGTACGGAATTAAATACCCTGTACGGTATTTGAAGATTTCATTTACGATATTAGTCTCCCTTGTACGGTATTAGAAGATCGCTTATGCCATGCTTGTTTTCATCATCCACGATAAACCAAAACCGGAATGCGGAAACGGTTTGTTTAACGACCAAGCTGATTGGATGAGCTATATTTTGATATCCAGAAGGTTGAAGGTAGAAGAGACAAGACCGCCTCAAGGTCGACTGGCGTCCAAAGCTGTACAGTATTTGCCACCATGACGCTATACCATGCTCCTACTGAGAGACCTATGTTACTGGACATACCACACTCTATGTTACTGGACAGTCCATGCTCCTACTGTTACTGGACATACCACTGAGGTCTCTACTGAGAGTCCTATGTTACTGGACATACCACACTCTGCTCCTATGTTACTGGAGAGAGTCCTATGTTACTGGACATACCACACTCCTACTGAGACAGTCCTATGTTACTGGACATACCACACTCCTACTGAGAGTCCTATGTTACTGGACATACCACACTCCTTACTGAGAGTCCTATGTTACTGGACATACCACACTCCTACTGAGAGTCCTATGTTACTGGACATACCACACGCCTACTGAGAGTCCTATGTTACTGGACATACCACACTCTTACTGAGAGTCCTATGTTACTGGACATACCACTATACCATGCTCCTACTGAGAGTCCTATGTTACTGGACATACCACACTCTTACTGAGAGTCCTATGTTACTGGACATACCACACTCCTACTGAGAGTCCTATGTTACTGGACATACATACTGACCTATGCTGGACATACCACCTGAGGAGTCCTGTTACTGGACATACCACACTCTTACTGAGAGTCCTATGTTACTGGACATACCACACTCTTACTGGGAGTCCTATGTTACTGGACATACCACACTCTTACTGAGAGTCCTATGTTACTGGACATACCACTATACCCATGCCTACTGAGAGTCCTATGTTACTGGACATACCACACACCTACTACTGAGAGTCCTATGTTACTGGACATGCCACTACTCCTACTGAGAGTCCTATGTTACTGGACATACCACTTAACTCTTACTGAGAGTCCTATGTTACTGGACATACCACACTCCCTACTGAGAGTCCTATGTTACTGGACATACCACATCTACTAGAGAGTCCTATGTCCATATGTTACTGGACATACTGGACATACCACACTCCTGAGAGTCCTGGGACATACCACACTCCTACTGAGAGTCCTATGTTACTGGACATACCACACTCTTACTGAGAGTCCTATGTTACTGGACATACCACTTTACTGAATGGTCCTGGACATAAAGAGAGTCCTATGTTTACTGGACATACCACACTTTTACTGAGAGTCCTATGTTACTGGACATACCACACTCTTACTGAGAGTCCTATGTTACTGGACATACCACACTCTTACTTACTGAGAGTCCTATGTTACTGGACATACCACACTCTTACTGAGAGTCCTATGTTACTGGACATACCACACTCCTACTGGGGAGTCCTATGTTACTGGACATACCACACTCTTACTGAGAGTCCTATGTTACTGGACATTTTTCCTGGACACCACTATACCATGCTCCTACTGACATACCACACTCTACTAAGAGTCCTATGTTACTGGACATACCACACTCTTACTGAGAGTCCTATGTTACTGGACATACTGGACATACCACTATACCATCTCCTACTGAGAGTCCTATGTTACTGGACATACCATACACTCTCCTACTGAGAGTCCTATGTTACTGGACATACCACACTCCTACTGGGAGTCCTATGTTACTGGACATACCACACTCCTACTGAGGTCCTATGTCCTATGTTACTGGACCGGACATACCATGCTCCTACTGAGAGAGTCCTATGTTACTGGACATACCACACTCTTACTGAGAGTCCTATGTTACTGGACATACCACACACTCTTACTGAGAGTCCTATGTTACTGGACATACCATACTCTTACTGAGAGTCCTATGTTACTGGACATACCACACTGAGAGTCCTATGGACATACCACTATACCACCACACCTACTAGAGAGTCCTACTGGATACCACACTCCTACTGAGAGTCCTATGTTACTGGACATACCACACTCTTACTGAGAGTCCTATGTTACTGGACATACCACTATACAATGGTCCTACTGAGAGTCCTATGTTACTGGACATACCACACTCTTACTGAGAGTCCTATGTTACTGGACATACCACACTGAGAGTCCTATGTCTAACTGAGAGTCCTATGTTACTGGACATACCACACCACTCTACTGAGAGTCCTATGTTACCACTATGGACATACCACTATACCATGTTACTCATACCATGCTCCTACTGAGAGTCCTATGTTACTGGACATACCACACTCCTAATGAGAGTCCTATGTTACTGGACATACCACACTCCTACTGAGAGTCCTATGTTACTGGACATACCACACTCCTACTGAGAGTCCTATGTTCCTGGACATACCATGCTCCTCCTGAGAGTCCTATGTTACTGGACATACCACACTCTTACTGAGAGTCCTATGTTACTGGACATACCACTATACCATGCTCCTACTGAGAGTCCTATGTTACTGGACATACCACACTCCTACTGAGAGTCCTATGTTACTGGACATACCACACTCTTACTGAGAGTCCTATGTTACTGGACATACCATGCTCCTGCTGAGAGTCCTATGTTACTGGACATACCACACACTCCACGCTCCTACTGAGAGTCCTATGTTACTGGACATACCACACTCTTACTGAGAGTCCTATGTTACTGGACATACCACTATACCTACTGGACATAGCCGGAGACTATGTTACCACATACCACACTCCTACTGAGAGTCCTATGTTACTGGACATACCACACTCCTACTGAGAGTCCTATGTTACTGGACATACCATGCTCCTACTGAGAGTCCTATGTTACTGGACATACCACACTCCTACTGAGAGTCCTATGTTACTGGACATACCACACTCTTACTGAGAGTCCTATGTTACTGGACATACCAAACTCTTACTGAGAGTCCTATGTTACTGGACATACCACAGCTCCTACTGAGAGTCCTATGTTACTGGACATACCACACTCCTACAGAGAGTCCTATGTTACTGGACATACCACACTCCTACTGAGAGTCCTATGTTACTGGACATACCACACTCCTACTGAGAGTCCTATGTTACTGGACATACCACACTCCTACTGAGAGTCCTATGTTACTGGACATACCATGCTCCTACTGAGAGTCCTATGTTACTGGACATACCACACTCTTACTGAGAGTCCTATGTTACTGGACATACCACGCTCCTACTGAGAGTCCTATGTTACCACACTACTGGACATACCACACTCACTACTGAGAGTCCTATGTTACTGGACATACCACACTCCTACTGAGAGTCCTACGTTACTGGACATACCACACTCCTACTGAGAGTCCTATGTTACTGGACATACCACTATACCATACTCTTACTGAGAGTCCTATGTTACTGGACATACCACACTCCTACTGAGAGTCCTATGTTACTGGACATACCACACTCCTACTGAGAGTCCTATGTTACTGGACATACCACACTCCTACTGAGAATCCTATGTTACTGGACATACCACACTCCTACAGAGAGTCCTATGTTACTGGACATACCACACGCCTACTGAGCGTCCTATGTTACTGGACATACCACACTCCTACTGAGAGTCCTATGTTACTGGACATACCATGCTCCTACTGAGAGTCCTATGTTACTGGACATACCATGCTCCTACTGAGCGCCCTATGTTACTGGACATACCACACTCTTACTGAGAGTCCTATATTACTGCACATACCACTACACCATGCTCCTACTGAGAGTCCTATGTTACTGGACATACCACACTTCTACTGAGAGTCCTATGTTACTGGACATACCACACTCCTACTGAGAGTCCTACGTTACTGGACATACCACACTCTTACTGAGAGTCCTTTGTTACTGGACATACCACTATACCATACTCTTACTGAGAGTCCTATGTTACTGCACATACCACACTCCTACTGGGAGTCCTATGTTACAGGACATACCATGCTCCTAATGAGAGTCCTATGTTACTGGACATACCATGCTCCTACTGAGAGTCCTATGTTACTGGACATACCACTATACCATACTCTTACTGAGAGTCCTATGTTACTGGACATACCACACTCGTACTGAGAGTCCTATGTTACTGGACATACCACACTCCTACTGAGAGTTGACTGAATTGACTGATCTCAATTTCTTCTACTTCCTTTTACATACACTTCTTCCTTCGCTCACTCCTGGTTGTCTTACAAGCAGTATCTCACATTAAAGTTATCTATGTTTTACAGGTATGTATCTTATATATCTGCTTTCTGTATGCTAAGCTAAAGATCATTGGAATAGGTAATGCAATCGTAGAACATAAATAAGAAATGTAATCTAATGTGAATACTCTGTCAAAACTCAATGTGTTGCATGAGATAACTATTGATACACTAAGTTAAAGCACCATCCCACAAGTAAGATTGTGGCTACACAGCAATCTGAAATGTTAAAACAATCCCCTCACCTTTCCTGTACATAATTTCTTTTCCACATTTGTAATAGGGCACCAGCTTGTTCTCAAGTTGTTCTTTTGCAGCTTTCATAGTACTGAACTTTGTGTTTTTGGTAATGTCATTTATCACATGTTCAGCCACATTCACTTCTAGGAAGTCAGCTAAGCGCTTTATTTCACCGACTGGGTCCTGAAAACAAAAAAATACAACAGTCAGTAGTGGGAGAGATATGACAATCGCTGGTGGGAGAGATATGACAATAGCTGGTAGGAGAGATAAGACAACGGCTAGTGGGAGAGATACAACAATTGACAGTCAATTGAAACTTACTAAGTAAAGAATTGTAAAATGTTATACACCATTTTGAGTACCCCTTTGATCAAACCTTGTACCAATATCCTAAATATTACATAAAGTAGGAGCTTTCCTTGTATCTTTTATTGTATAATTTTGGAGAAAAATAACCACATAATAATAAGGGACAGGGTCAATTTTGAAAACATTATTTGGAAATATTATTTTTGATTTATGTTTAATTGATGCCAAAGCGGTGTTGTCTGATTTACATACAATGCCAAACTTTCTTATCAATGCATTTCATTTCATGTCTTGTCAAAAAAGTTTTGAAATGAGATTTTTAATACAATGAACAGGAGTTTGCTGAGATGCATACCATGATACACTTATCACCATACCTCTTTGTCATGGTGACATCTGACAATGTGAGATGAGTGATGATGAATAGGTTCCTAGCCTACTTATGTCTCTTTTTTTTTTAGGGGAGCATGGACCTCACTTTTGTCTTTTAATTCCATTCCAATAAATTTTCTTTGCTTAAAGACATGCACGGTAATTGTATCAGTGTACAAATAGACAACACTTAGCAGTGTTTATTCTTCAAACTAGATCAATATTTGCAGTTTAATTTACTCCATCACATAGGAAATTGTACATCTCCATGGAATCTTATTGTGTGAGGCAGATCCAGTGTCACATGATGGCAAGTCTCTTTCGTCATCTACTTCTCTGATGTTATGAAAACATGCATCTGTAAAACCTAACTCAGCATGTCTTGTGAACTGCCTCAGTATGTCAGTCGCAATGACAGTGTCTCAGTATATTGAGATCAGCTACAGAATTTCAAATCTACTGACACTAAATATACTCAGCGCAAGTATTGAAGGGTCACCTATATTATATGGATCTGCAAAGAAATTGAAACAAATATTAGAGACATAACGACTTATAATGATTGTATTGAGTTTCATTTCAACAGTGATAACAAAAGAAATCGCATAAATGCAAAAGGGCGCTTGTGACTAGCACAGTTTAAAGGGTACCTTTCATAAGCAAGTTCACACTTAGTAGTCAAAACTCCTGGGTGCAGAACAGTGTCAGTATCTGGTGTGACAGCCCTTGTTTTTGATCCCTTCAGTGCACCTTGACCTCATACTCCTTACCAGGTTCATTATGAAGGCTTGGGGTATGGCATCCCACACCTGGAGCAGACCTCTCTACAGTGTCCTCAGATCAAGTGGCATAGGGTGTCTTAGGTAAACGCGGCGCCCCAGCTCATCCCATAAATGTTCAATGGGAGCAAGAAGGCCAGTCCATTCTCCTAATGCCCTATTGCTGAATGAAGTTGTTGACGTGTCCACGGTGCGGTCGAGCGTTATCATCCTGGAGGATTGGGGAACCTCTGTAGTGACGCATGGTCCTCATGAATGGTACTACAATTGAAGCCACTATCTCATCTCTGTAGCGCAGTGCAGTTAGATTTCCCATAATAACATGTAATCATGTCCTTGTTGTAGCTGTAATTCCACCCCAGACCATTATGGAACCACCATCGAATCGATTATGCGCCACAACAGCAGCATCTGCAAAACGTTCATGACATCATCTGTAGATTCTCCTACGGCCATCATGAAATGAAACATTAAGCCAGCTTTCATCAGTAAACAAGATTGAGGACCACTGACGTTGATTTCAGCGCTCATGAGGTGTGCACCATAGTAAACGTTCTTGGCGGTGACATGCTGTCAATGGTGGACGAACAGCTGGACGTCGGGAATGGAGACCATCTGAACGTAACCTGCTTCTTACTGTTGTCTGACTAATGCAGACCTTGGTGGCGTTAAAGAGTTTATCTCTCAACTGGTGTGACGTCAGAAATCGATTGCGTAGAGCAAGGTTGACGAGGTAACAGTCCAGTCTGTGTGTGGTAACCCTAGGACGCCCAGCTCTTTGGGCCTAAGCAACAGTTCCACTCGCCTGATGCTGCTGCCAGAGTCTCCAAATCACACTCTGAGTGACGTTAAAATGTGCAGCAACCTGACGTTGGCTACCACCCACATTGAGCATGCCAATAGCACGACCTCGATTTTCAATACTCAAAAAATGTTGCATTCTTTCAAGTAGATTTTTGCTGTCAAATAGGCCTGAAAGCACGTGCTTGTCCCCCGATGTGAGCGTGCCCATACCCCATTGGTTTGCATTCGATTGTAACGATCTGTGTTCATGCATGAAAATCATCAATTGTTGGAATAATTATCACTGTTTGCTTACTTTTTTCATTATTTTCTGTAGTTTAAATGTTGTTCCCAGTCTAATGCCATAATCGTTAATCATGATTGTAACCTCTAACAACTAAAGTTTGTCTTACTGTCAACTCCAAACATGATTAAAGCAGCTTTAATTTCTACCAGTCATTCATATGGGTGACCCTTCAATAATTGCGTTGAGTATATTTGCTTATATGAACCTGTGGCAATTATGAGTGTTTGTCATCAGCAGTTAAATTCATAGATTGCTGTTACTTCATTTCAAGAATACTGTCTCTTGAAAGTCATGAAAATCATGAAAATGAGTCGTTTATATGCTTAGGAAGGTCAGTTTTTGTGGTCATTTGACCGGTCTCTCATCCATTGGAAAGCTGTAGGTGATGTATAGCATTCCCAGAAATTATTGAGAAAGTTGTTTCGGCAAAATTCTAATACATGTGTAAAAAAATATAGAAGTTTTACTTATATTAATATGTTGAGATATGATTCTCTTACAATCTAAGAGAGTTATCATGGAATAATAATTCATACGAAAATTCATTATTAATTATGACAACTACAAACAATATATTAGGATTCAGATATTAGGAAAATATAAATATAGAATATTAGTTTCATCATACATCAGTAATAGCTTAGAGAAAGACTCAAGTCAAAAGTTGTAAAACTCATCTCATAGACATACTATTGGTACAAATTACGGCTACACAATTTCACAGATATTCAAGATAAAATCCTAGCCTAAGGTATTGAGGACTCAAGCTGTTAGCAACCCTTTCAGTAATTCAAAGTTATGACCAGACGATTAATTGAACTACCTTCATAAAGTAAATATGTCATCATCTATATTACAAAACTTAAAGCAAACACCAATTAAGGGTTATAAAGACATGGCCCACAGTAAATGCATCTTTTGTAATCCAAGCACCTATAATTGACACATCAGATTAGGCTCGTTAAGATCTAGCCCAGGGTAAGCATCCAAGCATCCAGTAAAAGTGCCAACAAGATAAGTGCCAGTTAAAATAGGATTAACAGGATTAAGAGTAATTGCCCTGTCTGGTCATTGAAGGACACACCCCATTTTGTATATTCTGTATTTGATAGGCTAATGTAGGTTACACCCATTTTTGTATCAGTCAACCAATCGTAATCTCTTTATTGTTTTAATTGTAGATAAAAAGTCTCTTACTGCATTTGTCCATCAGTAGGGTTTAGACTCCCAACATAGGTCAGCTCTAGCCCTCAGCCCAGAGGGTTGTACCGACTCTCTGTGGCCACCCCCGTTCTTGTAAATAAAATTGTGATTAGCTTCTTGTGACTTCAGACTCTTTGCTGAGTTAATTCCCCCAAGCAGACCAGCACGCCAGTTAGATAAGGGGTTTCACCAGAACCCTCACTTGGACCCAAGACCGATATCATAAAAGTTGGCGGAGAATCAACGATTTTCGGAACCTCGGAGCCCAGGAACTAACTACAACCAGATACAAGAACATATGGAAAAACAAGCGACTGCATCAACCTCTGATCTCAGCACTGGATTAAGGACCACCAACTCCTGTAAAGACACCAACCAAGGAAGAAAAAGTCTTCAAAAATTGTAAGTACTACTTTACATTGTTGATTTCTTGTCTTTCTTAATTATAGTACGGTACATACTATAAGGTGTCATGGCCAATATGGAGTCTGGTATGGAAAGTAACTTTGAAAGTGAAATTCCAACTGTGTCCTTAGTTACACCCCTTGCCAAAAGTGTGATTCAGGTAATAACATTTGGCACTGAAACAACAACTTGTTCAATAGATACAGGGGCATCCATTTGCTGCATTTCGTCTGCTTTTCTAAACAAAGCTTTCAACAACCCTGTACTCGGAAATTCACCCTTTCCACAGGTTAAAGGTGTTGGCGGCGAATTGCACAAAGTGTTGGGTTCAGTTGTGTTAGATTTTGTCATTCAAGATCAGGAATTTTCACAAAACATATGTCCTGCCCTCATTACCAAAGCCAGTCCTACTAGGTGAAAACTTCCTCAATGACAATGATGCAGTCATAGATTATAGCTGCCATTCCCTCATACTAGGCAACAGCACCTCAGATAGGCAATATATCAATTTCATTGCCAATCCCGATCAAGAAATTTGTGGATTAGCAACAACAATAGATCAAATTTATATCACCCCTCAGAGCGAAATTCATTTCAAGGTAAGATTGCCTGAGGCAAAAGATGATTCCCTCGTCCTCATTGAACCAATTGCCTCCCTCACTGCTCATTCTGAAGTAGCAGGTGGTAGGACCCTCTCAAAAGCACAAAGGAAAACTGTCACATTTAGGCTTATGAATCCTTCCCAAGAAGAACAAGTTTTAGACAAGGGTACAGTTGTAGGAAAATTTAGTTACATTGACAGCCACTCTATCTTTGAAATTGACTGTGACCAGCCATCTGTAAGTACAGTTAAGACTGCCAATAAGAAGACCGACAAACCCCCTGTTAAGTGTAGGCCTTATCGTCAATCTCCTCATCTCCCAAAAGTCACTGAAGAACTTGTAGAAGATTTTCTCAAATATGATTTAATTGAGGAGTCCACTTCACTGAAGAAATCCACTTCGATGTATTCAGCACCCATC